ATGTATGTAAAGACATTGCGTGCGCTACTTCCCAAGCGAAGCCGGGGCGGGCCGCTAGTTTTGTTAGTCACGGTTAATAGAATGATTTTAAAATGAATTTGGGAGTGTTTATTTTATTCGAGTTAGGGCTTCGTCATTAGTCGGCACTAATTGCCTGCTTTAAGTTTGGGTACCTTCATACCATTGAATAATATTTCTACCGTAAAGCAATTATGGATCTGAAGAGCGGGATATTTCGACTCGTGGGCTCAGGTGAGCAGCATTGTGATGTTTTACTATGGATCTATGTAATGGCTCATGATCAGATGGGAAGACAGTTTTTTTTTATTTTCACTTTTTAGGTGGTGATTGAGCGCATGGCCTATGTTAAATGGTTAACAGAGCCCGTGGACATCATAGCGTAATGCTGTCATATTGACACTTGAGGCTGAAGTTCCAATATAATTGTATAAGGATTCACCTACTTTTGAAACCGGAACATGTATCCGTATAAATACGAATACTAGACATCCTACCATTAGTAATAACCCAAATTTATAAAAAAAATGGCAAATTTGATTTAATTACACAATTCCTTAATCGTGAACATATTTTTCCGTAGAAATGTGGTTTTTTTTATTGCTTAGATGGGTGGACGAGCCCACAGCTCACCTGATGTTAAGTGGTTACTGGAGCCTATAGACATGTACAACGTAGATGCGCCACCCACCTTGAGATAATAATATAAGTTCTAAAGTCTCAGTATAGTTACAACGGCTACCCCACCATTCAGACCGAAACGCATTACTGCTTCACGACAGAAATAGGCGAGGTGGTGGTACCTACCAGTGCGGACTCACAAGAGGTCCTACCACCAGTAAAGGGATTTGAGCCCTGAGGGAGTTGAACATCAAGCAGCTCAGCAATCCAGCAGCATTTATACCTGACGCACCGGTCACCATTCTCCCTAAACCCATCGCTTGCGACGAAGACCTCGACGAGTAAATTAATCCACAGACACAGCCCACTGAATTTCTCACCGGATCTTCTCAGTGGGTCGCGTTACCGATCCGGTGGTAGATTCTGCGAAGCAATACTCTTACTAGGGACAGTGTTAGCAACGTCCTCAAGTTAGAGCCCTGTGAGTTTACCTACTCGCTCGGTTTCGGTGACATACCCTCTCAAGGTTACCAGATTATAATAAAAAAGGCGTCGGTGTTGATTTTGGTATAAGTATGTCGATTGAATTTTTTTTATCAAGACAATTGAATTACATTCTCATCTGTTATAGTTTTTAACATATTTAAATTTAAGTGTCTGCGTAATCTTACGAAGAAAATATCATGAACGTGACTATGAACAATAAAGGCAATGTTTGGATGTCGAAGAATATTCCGTTAGCTTAGGCTAACATAAGAGTTGACTATAAAGTTATTGCGCTTATTTTCTTTATGATCTTAAAATATATTATTTTATATAAATTATTCTGTAATAATAACAGACAACATTTTATGAATAATTTTAAAAATAAAGTATTTTTTAACATTGTAAAGTAACGAGAAAATACTGGAGGTCCTATTTTATATGGTAATAAAAGGTAATATAAATAAACTAAAAAAAAAAAAATTGTTTTCTTATTTTTAACACACACTAAAAGTTTTGCTAAGTCAACATAATAAAATCCACAAAAAAAAAACACTTGATATTTATTTTTACTCTTTCCGAACTTACCAAACGAAATATCGTAGAAAATTTCTGATTATTATCTTTAAGAAGCATTACATAATAATAAAATTTTGTTTATTATAAATAAATTCTAAACAAGACCTGGTTTTCAATAGGCATTTGCATATTAGGCATTTGTACAGCTTAAGTGCTTTTTGGAAATTCATTCGTATCTCCTTTGAATAACGGAGAAGCGGCACCTAAGCTTTAATCCTTCCTTTGAAATCCAGTAACTCGGTTTGCTACAGATATTATTATACAAAACATGTAACGTCTGTGAGGTGTGTGTTTATCAAGTTCTAAACAATATTTGATATTCAAATAATTAATTAATCACACTGCAATCGACTACAGCCTGTAATTAAATTTCTAAGGTGTATTTATTGCGATTTGACGTAGACTATAGTAACAAAGAACAGTAAAGATGACTAATCTGTGGTTAATACTTTAAATTTGATTAATATCATTAGCTATACTTGAGACCTTAGAACTTATATCTCAAGGTGGGTGGGGCACTTACGTTGTAGATGTCTATGGGTTCCAGTAACCACTTAACACCAGTTGGGCTGTGAGCTCGTCCACCCATCTAAGCAATAAAATAAAAAATACCTCAAGATCTAGGGGACTGCTCTGTGAAACTGTTTGAGATGATTCCATCATTTCGTTTTTACCATCGTACCGCCCGCTTCCGGAGCATAGTTCATCCATACTGTCTAGGACCACTGCGTTCATCCACATCTCGAGCTGTATAATATGTCCTACTTCAGATGAGGCTTGTGGAGAGTACAGAGCCGTAGGCAGCGTCTTGGTTCTGTCTCTGGCATTACTGACGTCCATGAGAAATGTCCAACCACTCACCGTAAGGTGGGCCGTATTATGCTCATCTGCCTACAGGGGAATTAAAAAATAGGATTCATTTTATATATTACATTTCTGCTTTTGATTTCTTATTGGCATTAAAAGATAGCACTAATTCGACAATAGTTAATATTAAATAACTATAAATAATAAAGTAAAATAAATTCCGTTCGATTAGTGAAATTTTCAATTTTTCTTAAATATTTTAGGTAGGTATTAAAAGTAAGTGTGAAAATAAAAATCTAAATCTAAAAACCCTCTGGATTCTTCCGGAAAGTCCATTAAATACCATTATTTTACTTGGATGTGATTTTATTTTATATCATTTCACCACAATTAATTCCATTTGATTTCAAAATGAACTTCATTTCACTTTTGGTATAATAGACAATACTTCATGCAATGTCTTGTTTGGCAAAATATTTGGCCGTACGATGGCTACGATTCTTTTGCCTGTCCGATAAATGAAGTCGACACAAGAAGAGCTCTTTGTTTCCATTTTCGAGTACCTACGAATTTATTGTTAGCCTCGTATCAAGCAGTTATTGTTTGTAAATACCAAAGCGCAGATGCTCTCTAAATTTGAAGACATTATTTAGTTATTTAATCCTATGTGTATTTCTTAGGAATCTTCGATTTAAATGGTGCGATAATTATTATATAAAACAATTGAAACTTCGAGCTCATTTCACATTGTCATTGGAGGCATTCAGTTTTAATATTTGCGTTCATCTACGCATCTAGTGCAATAAAAATATATGCATTTAATTAAGATGCGCGACAATTTTTGTTTTTCAGTATTAATATTTTGAGAAAGCCATAAAATTATAATTTAACAAAATAAAAGGATTTGGTTTCGATAATTTCTAGAATCTTCCATGATGTTACAACATACAGCGTAACTAATTCTCTGAACGTAGAAACAGTTGGCAGAGCATCTTGCTGACCGTACCGGGTATGCATAACCAAATAGCCCACTCGGTCTGCGGTAAACAAGTTCATTGAGACGGAATAAATGTTTCATTGTTGATACGTAGAGGACGCTCCCCGCATTCAATTTATGACTCGGTAAAAATGTATTTTCCCCTTACAATTTTTATATTGACGCAGAATAAACGGTTACAAGAATCGCGTTTTGAAATATTGCCGAAGATTTATGTGATTCGAAATGCATTGATTGTCTTTTATAGGATTCTTTCGATGAAAATCGAATGATTTGTTACTAGCTGTGTTATGATAGCAAGTGGACAATTTCAAAAGCGTGTAGACAAATAAATTTCAAAGAATACATCGAGGATACAGTACAAGTTATTTTACGAAACAAAATGATTTTCTCTGTTGTAGATCATGACCGGGAAGTACATTGCGAAAATATAGCAACAAATTAGACCGTGTTAGACTTGTAAATGTTAGCGGTGGCAGGTCGCATTGTGAGCCGATACCACCAGTAATCAATTCTGATATCTATGTATAAACATATTAAATAATTTAAAAACAATGTTAATATGTCAGTTACTTAAAAATAAATTACGATCCAGGACCATTTTATTATTTAAAAACAATAAATATGTTTTGTATTTAAACGTAAATTCTTTAATAATCCTAGAGTGGTTAAATAGAATCTTATGCGTAAGCACTAAAAACTAAGTAGTCTACTCATTTAGTAGAGTAAATAAATTTCAACTACTTTGGAAATACATATTGGAACTGTATAATATGTGTATACAATATAACCTAACTTATTACCCCCACATACGGGTGAGAAGATGAAGAATTAAATAGGAGTATTTATACCTATAATATACTAGAGGTCCCGCAGTAGTCGAAATTCGACTATAATTAATTGGAATTGTAAGTTTGTATACTATTATGATTGTATTTTATACTTCTATAATCACAAATTTCGCCAAGGCTACACTATAAAAAATATTCATAAAGACAAACAATATTTAATCTATTCTCAATTTGACCACAAACGTCAAGAATAAAAGTTTGACAATAAATTGTATTCATGCGTGTGTGCGTCAAATACATGGTAGGTATGTAGTGTGTGTAATGTTTTTTTTATTGACTTAATGTATCTTTTATGCATTATTTAAAAAAAATATTAGCATTGTGCATTTGTTCTCTATATTCTCTATAAGTGTGGAAAATTGCATACTACTCCGTCCGCGCAATTTACGTAAAAAGGGATACAAAGTTTTTGCTTCACGTATTATTTAAATATATTATAGAAATAAGATCATTAAATCAATTAGTTAATGAAAGCCAACGTCAAAGACAAAGTGTAACAGTTACGATGTAACATAAATACTGTTTACTGTCACACACGGCCAACATTAATTTGTCATTTTGACAAAACACGCAACTAACTACCACACGAATGAAATGACTGTAAAATTTTTGTTTGATTAAATTTTCCGTTAAAATTTAACAAAATGCTAGTCAAGAAAGAACCAGAAGAGCTAATGGCCCAAACAGTTGTTCTATACGGGAGCATACTCTTACTCTTAGTTTATCTAATGAAGTTCTTGAAAAATGTGGCTATGCGGAGTTATGGAGTGCCGGATTCTAGACGAGAACCAGCATGTGAACCCGCGACATGTCCTCACGTCACGAGCAGACACGCGCGAGAGGAACGTAACACCGAAGAGAGGAATGAAAGGAAACCCAAACGTCAGAGAAGAAGACGACATCATAAACATTCTATAGATGCATGGCCTCATTTGGAGCCTTGCCATAGCCAGGATGATTACTATGACTGAACAAACACAGGGGATCAATTAAGTGAATGGTATTAGTTTTTAAAATAAAAAATGTTATCGTTTACTGCAAATAAAACTCACTACTTGAGAATAATATCGATTCTGTCTTCTTCAAATTCCAGACTTATTTTTATGATTGAAAGTTTACTGGTGGCCCGAAGGCCTTTCCAGTTTCACCAGGACAGGTGGGCTGACTTATTGTGACTCTCTTAATTAACCAATTGGTACCTATTAAAACTATAATATGAAAAATCTAACGTGACTTTGAGGTTTGAATAAGTAAGGTATAATAAACCTTTTTAATTAACGGGGGAATTGGGCACCCTTTGTTTACAATTAACATAAATTTTAACAGCGTTTATTTTTTTATTTTTACAGCGAGTAGTAATAACGAATAAGGCAAAATTTATTTACAATAACTAAAACGTCGTGTTTCAGTGCATCAGCCAATTTGCTATAGATGCCGGGGTACAAGCGAAAATCATGATTGTAAGATACCGTCTTTAAATACGTAGAAATAATTTTCATGATGATTGTACTGGAGCTTGTCAAAATTACGCGAGATGACTCTGCCGTGACTGCCCTAACGCCCTACCACGTGACTCCTAGTCGCTTTGTTTACATCATAATTTAGGCAAAGAGCAGGAATGTCTTTTGTTTACTAAATGTGTTATTTACTCATTTATTGACATCATAGTGTACAAGTCAGGGTTATAATTATTTAACAATCTTCTGTCGTAGAAAGCTACGGCGATTTGTCATTCTCTCTGAGAGAAGTTTCATTGGCCCAATTCATTTCAAAACACCTTCAAACTGGATCTCTAAATTGCTTGCTAGTAACATTCTAGTAGTCACAAGTAAACAAAATTATCTTTGAGTGCCTTATTGGTCTATCGGATATTGGCCCTATTCAGATATTTGGGTATGACTTTGAGTCGCAGTAGTATTTTTGTTAAAAATATTGTTCACTCAATGCTATTGATCTTCTCCTGTATGGGTTCTATTCTGCGGTGAACCGCACAACAGAAAAATCTAGCTTGATGCCGTTGATAGTGGAATGCCTATATTATCCCCATTATTACTTCTATCTGAAAACTGTAAATGAAGTAAGTGTCTGTATTAAAAGTTTATAAAAACAGAATACGATATGGTGACTGCCTAAAAAATTATTATTGTATACATCTTTTTTCTCTTGAGACATCTTTTGTCTCTTTATCTGATTTTCTATTAGACTATGATACAAAGCTCATTCTTCTTCTCAGTCGTATGTACTCTTGGCAGAGTGGTCGTGGTCATCACTTCTGGTGACGGTGCGCTTCACCAGACGTCGCCATTTCTCGCGTACCGTGACCCTTCTTGTGCACTTGTTAACGGAACCGCTTAGAGCTGCCTTTATTTGGTCGCTCCGTCGTAACGGTGATCTGCCGCGCGATTTTGTACCCTCTATCATGCCGTGCACCACAAGGCGCTCAACTGAGTCGTCAACCCACCGCGACATATGCCGGAAGAAACTGAGAATGCGACCCAAAGGATGGAGGATAGTTGCTGCTTGATGCCAAGGTCCTGTAGAATTAATTAATTCGTTCTGAACTCCGTCCACGATATTTGCAGCATTCTTCTCCAGCACCACATTTAGAGAGCATCTGTCCTGTTTTTCTCACCGACGACCTTTTGAAGACATAAGCGCATTGTTCATCTAACATCGTACAGTACATCGAATGACGAAGGGTTTGGTCACTTAATAAATTCCAGAGAAGACCCTAAAAATAAAAAGGCAATGAAAACCAAAGATTCGTATTTTTCAATGCAAACGAAACTACAGTTAGTAACTATAAGTTTACTTGAAAACCGACTGCATTTCATAGACGAAGAAAGCAAGACGCTTTTGATTGTGGTGTACTATTTTGCGCCGCGTTACTTAAGCTAATTAACCTCGAAGAAACGGGAACGCCAACATGCAACAGCGTTAATGTGCTTTAAAAACTCTGTTTTATTTTGTGTTAGCACGATATAATTACAGGTACGTTTGTTCTTTTTCGTTTTATTTAATATGTCTCCGATCTTGATAATGTATTGTGTTGGAATTACGAATGGGGTGATAAGCTTATTAAATACTATAATTTTAATATTAAATACAAAATAATAATAATGGGAATTCATAATATTTTAAAGTTTACTATGAGCTTTGAATACTATGATTGTAATATCAAAGAACACTAATGTGTAATTTTTTTTAAGTCATTCAACTAAGTTGTTTTATCTTGTTCGATTTTCAAAATGTAGACACTTTCTAAGGATGATGACCGAAAATGAGTATCACATTTTTGTGGTGAAATAAAACATTACTAGTGGTTTCGCAGTAGTTGAAATTCGACTATAATTAATTGAAATTATAACTTTGAACACTATTATGATTCTATTGTCAAAGACTATTATACTTCTATAATCACAGATGTCAAATACATGGTAGTGTGTGTGTAATGTTTTATTTATTTAATGTACTTTTTATGCATAATTAAAAATAATATAAACATTGTGCACTCCTTCTCTATATTCTCTGTAAGTGTGGGAAATTTTATACTCCTCCGTCCGCGTGATTTCCGTAAAAAGGGCTTTTTTTTTTTTTTTTGGTCAGGAGGAAATCGCCGGACTTCCGCCCTCCNGGAATTGTAATTTTTTTTTAAAGTTATAATAATAAATTACGGCATTATGAAGAAGAAAAAAACAATACTATGAACTAAATTACTATTGTTGAAACGCTATCTCGAGAAACTGTACTCATTACGCGGACCAATCGGATACGAGCAATGTCACGCGATAAGCGCCTACACGTTGATTGGTCAGAATGACGGATCTAAAAAGTGTCGTGGCAACTTTTCGTAAGAATTTTTTCCGTCTACCCCCTTTCACAACGCGCGATAAGGAACTTCGTTCCAATAAAGACAAACAATTTTAATCTATTCTGAATTGGATCACAGACTTTATGCAATAAGGAAAGCTTGACAATAAACAAATAGTATGCATGTGTGTGTCAAATACATGGTAGTGTGTGTAATGTTTTATTTATTTATTTTATGTAGTTTTTATGCATAATAAAAAAAAATATTAACATTGTGCACTCCTATATATTCTCTATAAGTGTGGGAAATTGCATACTCCTCCGTCCGCGTGATTTCCGTAAAAAGGGCTACAAAGTTTTTGCTTCACGTATTAATGTATAGATAATATATGTGTAATCTAAATATATTTGAATCAAAGGATCCAAGCTCTTGTACTATGTGCTGTATTCTCGCGAACGAGAACCAACGCTAATCGCTCTTTAGATTGTCGACAACTCACGTTTTCCTGTCACGTCCGCAAAGAATCTTCGTTCTTGTGACATGTATAATGACGTTTCTGAAAGTGATATTATTCTCACATAGCTTCCCAGGTGGATCCTGTTGTGTCCAATATAAAAAAAGATGTGTGGGTGGTGTCCTGGGACACCGGATAGCAACTAAGTTCCTTATTATATAAATATTAATTTTATGTTCTATTCGAGGTATGAAGAAAATAATTATTCGGGTATACATTTTTTATTATGATTTTTTTATTGATAAAAATAAATAAAAAACTACTTTACAAAGTTATCAACTTTATTTTATTCACAATGATTTATAAAAAATATATAATAATAATATACAAAGAAACAGCTATTTATATGAATAATAATAATAACTGTCATCACGTACACTATACACTAGACACTGTATAGCCTTCATGCTAAGACTACACATAAATAATAAAAATCTTACCTTACGGATGTTTTTTCCCGGTTAGGGCACCCCTCCGCATCGTTCCAAGAAAAAAAAAGTGTCCGGAAAATTGTATAGCAAATCCAAGCCAGAATATTCTCTTGTGAGATAATTATCCTTTGGCGATTCAAATGCCTTTAAAACGATCTGTGGATAGTTATTAATGAAAAAATAATTTAATGTAAAATTAGTAAAAATTGCGACATAGTTGTCAGGGCCACTCGTCACTATTTCAGGGGTTATCGAAAAAAATAAACAAATTAACGTGATGTTTTAACGAACGTTACTGGTCGACGCTTAACACTAAATAGGTCGTGAATTCATATAATGTTCTCTAATACAAATAAAGAGAGAAAAACAAGATAATTTGTTTATATGTGCTGGAAGAAGCGGGTAATGAAATGCTTGTTGAATCTTTCGTTTGATGTATAATTGAGATTGACGCAATTAAAACATAAAATTTTCAGTAGGTAGGTATTCCAAAATTAAAGCAATTTATGTAAGTCCCTGATAATAAGTAATTTGTCATGGGCTTAGAACGAGGGTAATTATAATTTTGTTCGGACAATCAAAATGCCGAATGAAAATAATTAACATAACAATTTGATTGAAACAAATGTTATTTCCCATAATTTGTTCACCCTTTCCATCTACGGTTGTAACGAACGTCGATATAATTATGTATATTACACAAATAACTTCTAATCTAAATTGAGCGACAGTTCCACCCTTGAAACCGAAAAGCGGATACTTTGCTGAGCGTGGTGGTGGTGTCTTCCCGAATAAAGTCACAATACCTTCTATTACCAGTAAAAAGGGGGAGTAAGGGGAGATAGGAATGTTACCTTCACCGGCCCTATTGTCAACTCCACCTGCACGCGCCGGATGGCGGCGGGACCAACAGGTTGCCGTGGTGCTCCCTGTTAGAAAACCAACGGGGCAATGGCGACCGAGCAATGGCGGTATATTCATACACACCCGTCAGGGCAACCTGTACAGAAGAAGCGTCAGAAACCGGGGGGATCAAATACCCCCTAAAATGATGGTGTAGAAGGCAACGGGAAACCACTGCACTAATTTCCCACGAGAGTCATGAGCAGGTCGTATCCGACTGATGCATGACTACGACCACTCTGTCAAGAGTGTACGAATAGGAAGAGACCAGTAAAAAATTCTATTTAACCGGTGGTTTAGTAGTCAACTGAA